TATATATATATATATATATATATATATATATATATTATGTATATATAATTTTTTAAAAAGTGTGTCGAACACCTTGTTGGACATAGAGAAAAGACGAGCCTTCAACATTGTTAAATACGTTTACGAGATATATCGCGTTCCATAATGTTTCTCAATAATTCCTTCTTTGCTCTAGAGAAGCTGCTTGTTTCAGGACCTGAGAAGGCGAAGTGTGAATTTAGGTTTATAAGAAAATATGAAATGCATTTTTGTACCACTGATTGCTACGCCACGAACATTACCTTAAGACGTTTCTATTCTGCGTACATTGTATAGTTAAAATATTCCAAACAATATATCTTTAATTCTACATTATTCTGACTTTTATCTGATTCCTAATTATTTAAAGCCCTGTATAGTCTATTAAATTTTATTTCAAAAAAACATGTAAAATGCCTATATATGGTTATGATGACATCACATCATGACCATATATAGGCACATCATATATAGACTGTATTATAGGCATAAAGCAGTTTTTTTGTCAAAGAAAACTTGATAGTGTGGGCAAAGTTAAATAAAAGTTTGTTTGAAGGCTATTGGTTTTAATGTTGATATATTATTATTTTATTTTTACAGAATTGTCAAGCAGACAACCATCTATATCTGAAAGTGGCCCACCTAGTGGATATGAGTTGGTTAGCTCTGGCGATCCAGATATAAAACATGATGCAATCACAATTTCTTCTCAAACTGCAACAGGAGTAAATATAGATATTGTCGCATCGGGCTCTGTCTAGAATCTGATAATCAGCTGCCACCCTAATCATGAATGTTGTGTCCAAGTATACTCTATTAATAATGGCGAGTCGAGTGGCCGAGCGGTAAGGCAGGGGCGCCTTTATCAACAGCCTTAACATCGTATAGACACTGGTTCGAGCCGCTCCTCGCCCAGAGTTCGGTTGGTAGAACTAAGTCTTCACCGGATAAGGACTTAAAATGGAGGCCTACACTTCTGGCAATTTTTGGAAGAGTAGGATGTTATCCCGATGCTATGGCTCATTTCAGCCTCTGTCATTGTGGAGTGATGTGAACATGTAGCTACTACACGAGTCTCTTTACGGCGACAAGGTAGTCACGGACCATAGGCAATTTAGCACTAAGACATTGCGAGTTATGGGTTATTCTCCTACATTCTTAATTGTTATGCACAGTATTGGAAGATGATGTGGATGATGTTATGCTAAAGATCACAAAAAATGGTTTCAATCAGATATTGGAGATCTCAGTAAGGTCTTATGAAATGGTTGACGTAAGTCTGATGTTCTGAAGCCAATCATCAAAGAATACGGAATGGAGTTCAGACAGAAATAGCAACATTTGATTGTTTGATCTACGATATATTTTCCCCCTAATTTTATGCTTATATTTGCCTCGGAGATCCCTCGAGAGTTTAACACTTGTGGTTATTCTTTTTCAGCACTTGTGGTTATTCTTGGAGAGCGTTTTGTTGTATTTTTTTTCATCCTGAAATATTGTAATAAAAAAAATGTTTACGACTAAGTCAGGACAAGGAAAATGTAAAAGCTCATTGTTTTACTTGCTTATTGCTTAGTAACTTTAATAACTATCTAATGCACAGGTGGGCAAAGTGCGGCCCGTAAGCGATTTTTTTGCGGCCCGCGAATGTGAAACCTATAATGTAAGAAGTAATATTAAAACTGGGAATAAAGTGGTGTAAAAGCAGTGCTTGGAGGTTTTTAGCAGCGCACTGGAAAGATCAAAGTTTAGGTTGCGGCCCTCGGTGTTAAATCAGAAATTCACTTTGGCCCTCCGACCGATTTTTATGCCCATTCCTGATATAATGGAGCTCCAATTTATATTAAGGTTTATATACATTCCTTTTATGCTAAAGAAGACATATTACTGCATTGCAGTAAAACTATAACATGATCCTATATGATATTTAAAAAATTAAACAACAGCAAACGTTCTTTTAAAAAGTTCGTCTGGGTTATAAATGTGAATTTAAGGACCAGATACATTATTCAATTGCGTTTTTTCATATATTATTAAAAGTTAAACTGAGTTAATAAAAAAAAAAAAAAAAAACATGTTTACACTTTGTTCTTTGTGATTCCTGTTTGTTCTCTACCTGTTGTTTTGACACTGCGCCTTGAGCACCAATTTTGGTGGTGATGTTTGCGCTTT